CGTGGACTATCTCATTTGTAAATTTATCTGAGGCATCATTACTAATTTGTAGAGTACGTCATAAATTTTGTGTCAATCTGATTTCTACTTCATTTTAAATCAGATTTTCCCAAACTTGATTAACATTTGTTGATATGCCATAGCCCAGTCACGAATCGGCATAGTCCAGCGTTTGGATATGTTCTGGATTGCCAAATATAAGACCTTAAATACAGCGGTATCATTGGGAAATGACCGCTTATTTTTTACTACCTTACGTAGAGTCATGTTCAATGATTCGATTGCGTTAGTGGTGTAAATTGCTTTACGGATATCTTTGGTATAGCCAAATAAAGTATTTAACTGATCCCAACGATTGTACCATGATTTGCTTATTGCAGGGTATTTTGCATCCCATTTTTTAGCAAATTCATCGAGATTCTCTAGCGCAATATCTTCAGTATCAGCTGAATAGATGGTTTTTAAATCTGCAGCTACTTCTTTACGGTCTTTCCACGGTACAAATGCTAATGAGTTACGCACCATGTGTACAATGCATGATTGCACCTGACATTCAGGATAAACTGACGCAATGGCATCAGGAAAGCCAGTCAAACCATCACAACAAGCTATGAAGACTTCTTTAACTCCACGATTGTTTAATTCTGTTAGAACGCTCAACCAGAATTTAGCACCTTCATTTTGTGATATCCACATCCCAAGTAATTCTTTATTGCCATCAGTGCCAATACCTAGAGCCAGATATACAGCCTTGTTAATGATTGATTTATTCTCTTGCACTTTAACCACCATGCAATCTAGGAACAATATTGGATAACGTGATTCAAGTGGTCGATTCTGCCATTCTTTGACTTCATCGTTAACACTATCAGTAATTGAAGATAATAACTCTTCTGATAAGTTTTGATCATAAAGCTCATTAATCGTAGCACGAATATCGCGCATCGACATTCCACGAGAGTAAAGAGCCAAAACGGCATCATCAATCCCTTCAAGGCGACGTTTATGCTTTTGGATTAGCAGAGGTTCAAATTCAGAATTACGATCGCGTGGAACATTTATTGGTAGATCACCACTATTCGTTCTTATAGTCTTACTGCTAAAACCATTGCGACGATTACGTGATAAATCACTTGTTATTTCTGTGGATTTTGTTGTTGATAGATGATGTTCTATTTCACCAGATAGTGCGCTTTCAATGATTCGACTCTTCAAACCATGAATCATCGCTGCCAAGTCAGATTGAGTTTTTACACCCGAGGAGATTAGCTCAATTACCTCATCAGGTATTTGAGCTAATAGAGTTAGTTTATCTTGAGTAAGATGAGGATTTTTTGCCATTTTATAAGTCCTATTAATTAACGTTAGTTTAACTAAAATCAGACTTGAGCACAAAATTTATGACAGACTCTATTAACTGCATGTTCT